AATAGGCCATTTTACAGTTGTGTACTTAGTTGCCAAGCCTTTGATTTGGAGTGAGGCTGAAGGTGACCTTGTCATGATAGAGACCTGTATCTAGTTAGCATGATAACAAAGTGATTTACATTTGAAAGGCAGCAAGGTTTGTATCATAACAAGGTCACCCTCAGCCTCACTCCCATTCAAAGGCTTGGCAACCAAGCACACAAGTGTAAAATGGACTATTCTCCAAACTACTGTCATAAGAATTGTATGACAAACAGAAAGGGGAATTGCTAATGAGATCTTGGGAGTGAAAGTGTTAAAGATATTTTGGCCAAAATGTTTTTGAAAGGTAAGAAAGAACATCATAGAGTTCCTAGTCAGGATTCTGGTGGTACAGGAGATGGAGTCTGTCCGGGTGTGGCAGACGTTGGCCTGACTTTTGGTCTTGGAGCTCGGCTAAGTACTGCAGAAATTTCAGCTCTTTCATCATAGCTCTTAAACAGTTCATACAGCTGTAAGATTTCCTGTGTGATTTCCAGTACTTTGTCCATATCAACAGATAGTTCTGCAAACCACTGCTTGGAATCTTTCTGTTGAATGACACAAGCCATGTAAATGGCAGCCAATGCAATCTGGTAAGGGGGATAGATAAGAGAGACATCTGTTCGTAAACTATCATTCAAAATGCGCCACGCAATTGGCAGAATTGCATCTTCCATTCCAAGATCAGCAACATACTGGGTAAGAGGTCTGTAAGGGTGGTATACAATCAAGCAACAGTCCATCATCTCAAGTAAAAAAAATTCACACTCAAGAACCTGCAAAAAAACAAATGAACTCAGTAAAGAAACAATGATTAACAAAAAATTATTTAATTTCACAGTTTGTATAATGGTCTTTGCAGATTATGGCTCTAGGAAACCTTCTAATACAACCCATGCCTAAATATTTGTAAATTTACAGCCTCAATGAAAATACTTGCCAATGGGGGAATCTATTTTGCTTCTACTCTTGTTGCTAGGCTAATTCCTCTTATTCACCAAAATTTCAGTCCAATGTTCTTGTTCCAAACACAAAACAGGAATTAAGGTGGGTTTTTGGCTGATATCAACTCGTGTTTCTTTCACTTGTTCCCAACAAGTGAACTTAACATTAGTCACTTCTAACATGAGCTGTTTAACTTGATAAGATTAGAGACGATTATCCTTTTGTGAGGAATAAGGGCAGACCAAGCTAAAATAGAGATTTTGGCTGACTAAAATGTATTATATCCCTCTTGTATGCCAGCAATCATTTTCAGATTGTTTTTTTGTGGTTTTTTTTCACTTTATTTTCTCAATGCTATCCAAAATAATAATAATAGTAGTAGAACTTATATTATTGGGTATTTTAGGGCCTTCTCAGAGACATATTTAATGCTGAAATGGCTCTAAGTTAGGCCAAAAATATATTCACAACAGCAAACATAAACTGTGTTGTTTTATTAACATACATTCTTCTTTGCTTTTCCCTACAGCTGATGCTCTGTTTGTTGTTTGTAAATGGTGGATTCTTTTACCAATAAAACAATTATGTCTTTTTCTAGTAAGTAATCTGTTCTTGGAATGTGAGATAGCACTGAAAAATACATTTTACTCTATCTTATGTATTTCTCTTTTAACCAGTAGGATTGTTTGTTGTGGGTTTGGATCATTTTGTGTAACTCAGTACGAATCTTTTCAAGCAAGGAAGATTAGCTGGATTGTTTTCTGCCTGAACTTAAAAAGTGAGGCACACACGAAGTTTGGGCCTATCAAATTGTAGATGGAGGTTTAAGACCATGATAAAAATACTCTACCTGGGTCATTCTGTACGGAAACTGATCCCCGGGAAAAGCGAAAGAGAATTTGTTCTTCACCACGGCGTTACAAGCAGCATTAAAACGACTGTTAGATATCACACCACACTCCTCCGTCTTGTGAGCTAAGTACATGCACGTCGGAGCCATAAGAAGAGGATCAATGTTTTTCAAAGAATTTCTTGCATAAAATCTTTTGTAGTACAAAGAGGCAGTTGCAATTACTTGTTGGCGTAGCTTCAAATGTTCTCCTAAAGCTTGCATGAAATTGATAAAAAAGATCTGTATCTTCTTGTAGTCGTCGTCTTTAAGATTTTGGTAGTCTCGCTGCCTTTCTAGTTCGATTTCTTCACGGTCAAGGAGCCATTGATTGCAGTGCGAAGAAAGCCAAAAGTTCGCCGCCATTTTGGATGAAAGAATTAGTTACCAGTTGAGTGGTTGGTACGCGGTTAAATTGGAGATATTTGCGATGGGAGGGGGACGTTTTATACAAACTCCGGGGCCCGGCTGTTCAAGGAAGGTTTGTTAATAGTTACTGTAGTGTATTGATTATACATGCACCTATTTTAATTATTGACAACGAGCTAAGTATGGGTTCTAAGGTGAGCACTTTGTACTTAAATCAGTAAATGTACTACTAGCAGCAATCATACTGTGCTGGAAATACTTGCATGCTGTAAAATTACTATAAGTCAGTAAAAACTTCTACTTCTATTGTGAAACGTGTTTGTTAATAAAGTTTACTTAGCCTTTGGCAATGAAGGAGAGACAGTTCCTTTGTGCCTAAATGACGACACTACAGTTACCAATCCCGAAACTCCGAAAGTTCTTGATGATATTTGTCAACGTTGCAGTTTTAGATGCTGTTGTTGTTGTCGCTTTCCTTTTGCTGTGTTGACATTCAAGATCCAGATACTGATGCTTCTTGAGTTAAAAAAAAAAAACGCGTGCGTGAGCACTTAGTCAGTGATAGGGCCTCTCACGTTTTCAATCATCTACAGAATTCTGAACATTGTCGCGCCTTGTGTTCAGTAGATTGTTTCGATATCTTAGACCACGCCTCCGCGAGTTTCCAACTCAAGATAAAAGAAGCTATTCACATTCAAAGAGAACAACCTTCTTTGAATCAACAATTACATGTAAATCTAAAACTATCCCTATAATTTTCATATTGTCACGTTTTGTTGTTACTAGCTTAATTAGCACGTACTTATAAATTCAACTTGTAACGCTTTGTTAATCAACTGAAGATGACAGAGGTTTCTATCGAAACATGTCTTTTAAACTCAAAAGTTTTGTCGTTTTCTTTAAATAATAATAATTAATTATTTGAGTCTTTTTTTCACCTGAAAACATTTTATTTCTATATTTTTTTGGTATCATGTGCTCCCCTAAATTACTGAGATCTCAGATAGATCCTAGGTTTTCTGAAATTCCTTTGTTGTCAACCATATTTCTAATCAAATTTCTTCTCTAGAAATCCGCCAATTGAGAGTTTTAATTCGCCTAAAAATCAAGCTTATTGTAACTGCAGTTTTTACTTGACCCTGTGTAAGTCCACTCATACGGGTTTCACAGTATTTCATTCATATTTGAGAAAACTCTTTGCACGTCGGTGTGTTTCAGTATGGTACATTCATGCTTGACCACTGAAAAACGAACATTTCTAAACATCGAATATACTCAATAGACTTGTATAAAATTTTCGTTGGCATTTTGATGAAAGTTTCTCACTGCTGGGCATTTAGTCCATTTGAGACCGAGTCCGCCAGTCTGATCAGAAGCGTATAATTTCTTGGCGTCGACAACCGGGTTCGAAGAGTTTGTTCACTGGAAAAAAAAAATTAATTTTTGAAATCGCTTGACATTTCTAAACAGACATCGGACATCGACAACTGAGCGATATTTTAATAGAATACACAAGCTCAGAGTCCGCCAGTCTGATCAGCAGCGTACAATTTCTAAGCGTCGACAGCTGAGCTTAGAGAATTTGTCCACTGAAAAAAAAATGTTTTGGAATCGCTGGACATTTCTAAACAGACATCTCAGATATTCCTAACAAGTTTTAAAGAAGCTTTCGGTGAATGATTTATGAAAATTTCCGACTGCCAGGCATCCCCAAATTAATGGGCTTGACTTTAAAATGACGAGCCAGTCTCATAATGAAAAATTTACCGAAAGGTCATTTTAAACATTGTTGCCTGATATATGATATTCAAGATACAGGATTACTTTCTTTCTTTGCGGGATACAAAATTCATTGAGGTTTTTTCGATAAAACTCTCCTCGGCGTAATAAAGAAAGCAAGGAATTAAACGGTGAACTGAACAATTTCAGTTAATGGATCACTCACTGAAAAATTTGCAAACGATAAACAACTCTCCCCCGTTGCCCATTTTTCCACTTAACACCTACTCCCTCGGCAAATATTTCCTTGCCCCAATCCTCCACAGTTACCAAATCTAAGATGGCGGCCTACTACGAAAATGTGCACTCGTGCGCCCAAAATACGCCGACACTTCAGGCTAATGGAAAGTGGCATCACATCTGCGCAACATGGGAGAATATCGCTGGCTCATGGAAATTGTTCAAAGATTGCAAGGTTGCAGCTTCTGGTAAAAAGTCTCAAGAAAGGTATAATCTTTTTTTTTTCAGTAACTCCATCACTGCTTATAAACAGTTACATTTTGAATCACAGACATTTGGCATATATGCTTCTGTATGAATGTATAAGTTTCACAGCGAGGAGTTTTTCAGTTATTGAACTCAGGAGATTTATTTGATTTTTCCACAAAATCAAAACTAAAAGAGGAAAAACGTTACATTACTAATGTACAAAGGTTCGTATGAATCCGACTTGGACCACTCTGCTCTGTGACAAACAGAACGCTATAGGGCAACTATGCTTCTTTTAGAACATCGTATCAATCTGTGATCCTCACTTCGTAAACCAGACAGGAAAGCCTGTTTATAATTCACCTCGATGTTGTTGCTCTTTGGTTGTCTGCATAGTCAGAGAAAAACCAACTTGAGTATATGTATTCAAGTGTTATAGTACAAAGGGCAATAATTTTTTCTTAATGGCGTTTTCACAGTTCGTGTGATTCGTGGTGGAGGAGCCCTGGTACAAGGACAAGAGCAAGACTCAGTGGGAGGATCCTTCCAAGCCATTCAAAGTTTCATCAGTGAAATGACAGGAATCAACATCTGGGATCACGCGATCAAAGACCGAGAGATCACACTCATGTCTAAGTCGTGCCTGACAGGGGTGGGGAACGTGTTTCAGTGGAGCGACTTCAAATCTCACATCAAGGGCTCAGTGAAGATAGCTGAGCCATCGAGTTAAAGTAAAAACATCCATGATGTGATATGTAAACATTTTGAAGGATGTGACATTAACGATAATCAGCGTTTGAAGATTTTTTAAGGTCTTTGCAATTGAACATGAAAATAACTTGGGATTGTCTTGGTTTGGTTTTCCTGTCAACTGATTAGATGCAAAACTAAATCCAATCGCACCTTGGACACTCGCCATAAACCGTGTTTATCCTTCTTCGCTTTTTTCTTAAGGATGCTCCAACGATTACGCTTGTAATAACGCAAAAATCGTCATTCACATTGCATAGATCATCAATTACTGTTTTTGAAGGAAAAAATAAAACTGTCGTGATAGTTATTTAACTCGAGTCTGGTTTCCAGACCAGTACTGTCATTCAAAGTGTACATGCGCTTTATTTTTGTTTCTCTTGCGCACCCTCTAGTTTTCTGATGTCAGATCGTGGCAGATGCTAATAGAAGGTTCTTAACAACAAACATATGAAACATATAAGAAGGTTCTTAATGAGGTGGTGGCCAACCTTTAAAATTTGTCAATTGTTACGCCTTACGGCTAAAATTTTCGGCCATTTTACCGCTAACGGTTAACCCCATTGAGAACCTTTTTAAAAAATGATTCAAAGTTTACTTGGAAGCCTTTTCTAGTCACCTTTGTCCGAACGCAAATGAAAATGGTTCAGTGAGCCCTCTCTTTGATTTCCATTACCTCTGTTTTCTCTTTATTATCTACTCGATCTACTCGCTAAAAATTTTGTCAAAATTAACTAGTCAGCAATATGTTTAGACGAAGTGGAATGTAGATGGACTCAGTCTCGTGGCGACGTTCAAGATGGTAAATGATAAAATATTTGAGATGCAACGTCCATTCTTATTGCTCGATAGGTGTGTTTAGGTAAGAGTATGTAAACCATCTTCGGTGGTCATATAGCCTTATCCAATCACTCGAGCTTTGGAAAATTCTCAACGCGGCTCGGGTTTGCAAAACTTCTGGAGTTGTTCCAAAAGTCGTGCGTGTTCAGAATAGGCTATGAAAATCGGAAAAAGTATTCCACTGCTTAAGCTCGGTCGTTGAATGCAGAAAAAAGCTATTCGTTTTGTTTTGTCATCTTTCTTAATGCATTTACTGACACGATGCTTTCTATATAGTTGATCCTCGCAGTTTGTAGGATGCAAGTGATAAGCCTAGCTCACCATCGAGTTCTACGTAATTCAGCGGTACAGCATCGGAGCGTGAAATACGGAAACTAATTTTACAGCATCATTGTATAGTAAATGATCAAGTTGTGCGTCTGGGACTTTCACGACTGCGGAGTCTGTTGAAGTAAGAATTCCAAAACATGACTTATTCGCTAAAAAATGTTTCGCTTTGGAAAATTATTCGGGATGCAACTCCTTTGTTTTTATGAACGGTTGAAATTGCAGTCACTCGTAATCAAAGAGTAGGAGTCATAAAAAAGGTTGACAACTTTGGAAATAACCTTGCTCTTTCTTATTCTAATAATTGTCTTCTGATCGCTGATCGCCTTGGGCTTTTGAAATCGCTTGATTTATATTAACATAAATGAAGACCTAAATCTCAACATCTCTATCTGTTGACAGTGATTTGTTTGAAACCAGTTAAATAATTACTAAGACTGCAAAGATAGAGGCATTACGATTTGTCAGCTCATATATAGTCTGCTATTGTTAGTTTTCTTTCCGATTACGGCTCGCAATGCATCTTTTCATACTTCTTCTTCTTCCGCTTTTCTCTTTCTAATGTATTCGGAAGCGTGCTACAAAATTTTAAATTTGTAGACAACCAGCTTTGTACACATCTGAACACGAGTTAATATTTATTAAAAAAAATTAGCATGTGAAAGGAACGTCAAACTGAAAAAACAGGAAGGTCACTCTCGTGTAACCTGAAATAAAATGTAATGACACAAACGCAAAAAAAAGAAAAAACTAAAAGGGAAATGGAAATGAAGGCAATAAATAGATTTGCAACCGTTTAAATCGTGTAGAAAGCACTCCTACCCATTCACTAAAAGTCCAGTTTATCAATTGGGTTTAACGTCTTTGGTACGACGATAAGCATATATTATTGTCGTCTAGAAAAAAAAACTTGTTTTGTTTACATTGATCAAAATGCATCGTGCTCAATGAAAATTGCTTTGGTTTGTTTGATGACTCAGTCTTACTAACAGACCTCTTTCTGTCGCTATGTTCGCTAGCAAATCGATTCGTTCAAGTTATCTGTTCCTGATCTTTGTGGTTTCACCACAAATTTCCTCATCCATTCGAGTCAATGAGACTATCTCTAATGGCAAAGTTTTCATCACTGGAGATCATAATGAAGTTGTTATGTCTTTAGCCCGAGAAACGAAAATGGAATTAGCTGAAATTAAAAACAAATTAAAGTCGTTAAGCGAGGGAAATGAAGAACTGTCCAGGAAATTGAAAGCTTTGGACCAAAGAATCTTGCCCTCAGAGGATGTAAAGGGGAAAATTGATGCCATGAACCAAACGATCGAGGACATTGGAATGAAACTGGAGTTAATGAACAAGTCCAACGAAGATTTGTCCAAGATGATTCAGCCCATGAGTTTGAGGCTTACAATCTTGGAGAAGCAAGGTAGAAGCAGCTATCTTTCTTGATACAAATCAGGTTATTGAACGCTTTTGTATCGTACTAGGCTGCTCCTTACAAATTGCGAACATTGCTCTTAAAAAAATACAGTACTTCTACGCTTCTTAGTCACCAAAATTTATTGAATTTAGATTTAGATAAACCAAAGTGGCTGTGAGCCACTGAACTCGGATAATGATTAATGAAAGGCTAAGAATGGTCCTTTCATATTGATTTATAGCTGAGGGGATCTTCTTCCATGAATATTCAACAATGTTTCTGATACCTGATACAAGCACTTGCACAGTTTTATAAACTGAGGTATATCATTGAAAATTGTATCACTCGGCGTCTTATTCAATAAGAACAAGTGTTCATTTGACAAAGATTATTAAGGGGTTCTTCCTGGTACTGTAATTAAAAAAGAAAAGAAAACGGCAACAATAACAGCAACATTTCTTGGAAAGTTGTTGCTGTAATCACAACAAGCACGACTATCAGTTTGAAAAAGGTGTAAGTTGATAATTCTCCCGAAATATAATATATAATGGCATCCTCGTCTCGGAGAGGCGATGGTCAGCGCATCAGTGTTGGCGGGCTCTTGAGTGGCTCAAAAGCCCGATTCTTGAGTGGCAATCTTTGTTGCAGCTGGTACAGATGTAGTTGGTGGCCTCTTGAACTGATCCTTGACGTTTCTTTCTCGTCCCCCTCTTGATAGTCGCCTCGGCCCTGGCCTTCATCTCAGCCCTGTGAGCTCCGTCCTTCACACCGCGACGCCAGGCGTTCCGGTCTGGCGCAAGGATCTCCCAGGTGTTGGGGTTGATTTCAGTGAGTTGCAGGTCGCGCTTGCAAACATCCTTGAAGCGAAGGAGTGGTCGGCCCGTGCGTCGGACGCCCTCTCGCAGTACCCCATAAAGGATTTGTCTTGGCAAGCGACCGGGGTCCATACGGTGTACATGGCCAAGCCACCGTAAGCGTCTTTGGATGAGTAGTGTAGAGATGCTAGGCATGTCGGCTCGCCCAAGGACCTCGGTGTTGGGGACTCTGTCCTGCCATTTGATCAGGAGGAGACGCCGAAGGCAGCGGAGGTGGAACCCGTTGAGCCGCTTCTCTTGTCTGGCGTATGTGGGCCATGACTCGCTACCATAGAGGAGTGTGGAAAGGACACAAGATTGGTAGACTTGCAGTTTGGTCCTCGCGCTCAGCAGGTCATTGCTCCACACTCTTTTGTTGAGTTTGGCCATTACTCCCGCTGCCTTGGCAATCCTTNTAACAATGGCATCCTCGTCTCGGAGAGGCGATGGTCAGCGCATCAGTGTTGGCGGGCTCTTGAGTGGCTCAAAAGCCCGATTCTTGAGTGGCAATCTTTGTTGCAGCTGGAACAGATGTAATTGGTGGCCTCTTGATCTGATCTTTGACGTTTCTTTCTCGTCCCCCTCTTGATAGTCGCCTCGGCCCTGGCCTTCATCTCAGCCCTGTGAGCCCCGTCCTTCACACCCCGACGCCAGGCATTCCGGTCTGACGCAAGGATCTCCCAGGTGTTGGGGATGATTTCAGTGAGTTGCAGGTCACGCTTGCAAACGTCCTTGAAGCGAAGGAGTGGTCGGCCCGTGCGTCGGACGCCCTCTCGCAGTACCCCATAAAGGATTTGTCTTGGCAAGCGACCGGGGTCCATACGGTGTACATGGCCAAGCCACCGTAAGCGTCTTTGGATGAGTAGTGTAGAGATGCTAGGCATGTCGGCTCGCCCAAGGACCTCGGTGTTGGGGACTCTGTCCTGCCATTTGATCAGGAGGAGACGCCGAAGGCAGCGGAGGTGGAACCCGTTGAGCCGCTTCTCTTGTCTGGCGTATGTGGGCCATGACTCGCTACCATAGAGGAGTGTGGAAAGGACACAAGATTGGTAGACTTGCAGTTTGGTCCTCGCGCTCAGCAGGTCATTGCTCCACACTCTTTTGTTGAGTTTGGCCATTACTCCCGCTGCCTTGGCAATCCTTGAGCTGATCTCGACGTCTAGTGATGCTTTGTTTGACACTGTGGACCCTAGGTAAGTAAAAGAGTCCACCACCTCCAGTTCAGTATTGTCGATTGTAATGACGGGAGGTGTCAGTGCATCTTGGGCAAGGATGTTCGTCTTCTTTAGGCTGATGGTAAGGCCGAACTCTTTGCAGGCGTGAGACAGCTTATCGACCAAGCGTTGGAGGCCTGCCTCGCTGTGAGATGCCAGGGCAGCATCATCTGCGAACAGCAGCTCGCGGATGAGCACCTCAAAGGTCTTCGTTTTGGCGCGGAGCCTGGCAATGTTGAAGAGCTTGCCGTCTGCCCTTGTCCGAATGTATACACCGTCCGAAGAATCGGCAAAGGCATACTGGAGTAACATCGAGAAGAAAATCCCGAACAGAGTTGGTGCCAGAACACAGCCCTGTTTTACTCCACTTCTGACTGGGAAGGCATCCGAGGTGGCTCCATCAAAGCAGACGGTGCTCTGCATGTCCTCGTGGAAGGCGGCGATGATGGCAAGGAGTTTTGGTGGGCAGCCGATCTTCTGAAGGATCTGGAAGAGCCCGCTTCGACTGACCAGGTCAAAGGCTTTTGTCAGGTCCACGAAAGCGAGGAACAATGGTTGCTGCTGCTCACGACACTTCTCCTGCAGCTGACGGAGGGAGAAGATCATGTCCACTGTGGACCTGGCGGCTCTAAACCCACATTGGGATTCTTGGTAAACTCGTGAAGCGAGACTCTGTAGGCGACTTAGAGTGACAAGCGCAAAAACTTTGCCTACAATGCTGAGGAGTGAGATGCCGCGATAGTTATTACAATCGCTTCGGTCACCCTTGTTTTTGTAGAGGGTGACTATACTTGCATCTCTCATGTCTTGTGGGATGTGCCCTTTCACCCAGCATTGGCGGAGGAGCTCGTGAAGCGGCTGGAGGATGGAAGGCTTGCCGTGCTTTAGAACTTCTGATGGTATGCTGTCCTTCCCTGGCGCCTTGCCACAGGCAAGGTTGTCGATGGCTTTGTTGAGCTCCTCCAGTGTGGGCACCTCGTCAAGCTCCTCCACGACTGATAGTCTGGGCAAGGCATCAAGGGCAGCGTCAGTCACGATGTTCTGGGTCGAGTAGAGTTCGAGATAGTGCACGACCCAACGCTGCAGCTGCTTGTTCTGGTCGGTGATGACCTCGCCAGACTTCACTTTGAGTGGTGCTGTCTTGATGCTCGTGGGGCCAGTGGCTGTCTTGATCCCCTCATACATCCCTCTAGTATGACCACAGTCGGCAGCTGTCTGGATCTTGGCGCACAGGTTCTGCCAGTACTTGTTAGCACAGCGGCGGGCGGTCTGCTGGGCCTTGCTGTTAGCTGCTCTGAGAGCGTCACGTGTGCTGTGGCAAGGGTTCTGCTTGTAAGCCAGAAGGGCTATCCTTTTGGCTTCCGTGACTGGCTGTATTTCTTTCCAGTGCGCCTCGAACAGTAAGCATTCTTGTGTGCTTTTCTTCCGAACGCAGACATAGCCGAGTCGTAGATAGCATCCCGGAGGTGACACCATTTGGCGTCCGTGTCATCGGTTGTAGGCTGGTTAGCAAGCTTTTTCTGAAGGGTCTCGACGAAGCTCTGAGCCTTGACTGGGTCGGGAGTAGGGCAGGTGTTGATGCGGAGGCGGCCCTTTGTCTTGGCGGGGTGGATCTTACAGGGCTTCAGCCTGATCTTGCTGCCAACAAGGGAGTGATCTGTGTCACAGTCTGCGCTGTGGTAGCTTCGCGTGTGGAGGACGCTGCTGAGATCTGCTCTCCTGATAATGACAAGGTCAAGCTGGTGCCAGTGGCGGGACCGGGGATGTCTCCAAGACACTTTGTGCAGCTCCTGGCACTTGAAGTAGCTGTTGGTGATGCAGAGGCCATGGTGGCAGCAGAGTTCCAACAGTCTCTGCCCAATTCTCGTTTAACTTGCCAACACCGAAATGGCCGAGACAGGCGGGCCATGCTTGCCAGTCGGATCCAACGCGTGCGTTGAAGTCGCCTAGCAGGTATACGCTTTTGGAGCGGGGTATTTGGGACACTGTTTCCTCCAGGGCTTCGTAAAACTGATCTTTGGCCTCTGTGCTGGAGGTGAGGGTCGGGGCGTAAACAGACAGGAAGTTGACAAACCCTGTAGATGTCTTCATGCGGAGGACTAGGATTCTTTCGAGGCCTCCAGTCAGCTTTTCTGTGGTGGCGAGCGGCGAGTTCCTCACAGCAAAACCTACTCCATGCTGCCTCCGCTCGTCCTGGGACAAGCCTTGCCAAAAGAAGGTGTAGTCTGATTCTCTAAGAGAGCCGCTGTCGGCCAGCCGAGTCTCCTGGAGACAGGCAACGTCGATGTTAAGCCGTGTCAGTTCCTTGTTGATGATGGCGGTCTTGCGGGAGTCGTCTATCTGTTTAAGATCAGCAGAGAGACCAGGGCACATAGTACGAACGTTCCAGCTTGCGATGCGAAGAGCTGGAGTCTTCGTTAATGTTTTCTTTTTGCCTGGTGCAAAGTTGTGACTCGCTTGTCGGGGAAGGTCCCCTAAGCCCTACGCACCCAGTAGAGCAGGCGAGCCATGGCGGGGCAGCACCTTACTGGCTGGGGGCTGCCCAGCTTGAGGCGGGCGGTAGCTGCCCAGTGAAGCTACGAGGGCTTCTCCCACCGTCGGATGATACCCCTGGCGCTCCAACCTACGCCAATCGGTCAGGAGCTTAGAACCGGTGAACTGCCTCATCCCGTGTTGTGCCGGAATCTTGCAAAGAACCGCTGGAGTGACCTCTCCAGTTTGCGCTGAAAGCCTGGGCGGGTTAGAATGGGGACGCTGGGTTGCCCACACTTCAGTGTCCCCCTCTCGGTTCCGCTGGCTGAGTCCAAGGGAAAGGGTGAACCTTTACAATTTGGAGCCAGTTTCACTGCAGGAGCTGCCGGAAGGTAGTGCTGTGCATCTGCCTTTCGCCTTAGGGGCTCCACTCCGGATTTAACCTCGAGGTTTACTCCTGAAGCTTTTCCTGCTATCAGGTATAGCCACAAAGCAGTGGAGGTTTGAAATCAGGGTTTTCCCTCCCCTAGATGGGTTGCCTTCACCGCGGCTAAAGAGCCCCATCTACCCTGAAGTAGTAGTGATGCAGTGTAAACATCACCCCCTCACGTGGTTTAGCCCGCCAGCTGAGGCGGTGTGCCGGGGTGTGGCGCTTGGAGCCAGCACGAGAGAGATTTAGGAGATGGATGAGGACCAGTGTGCCAGTCCACCCTACCAAGTAGGATGCAGCTGCCAGACAACAAAGGTACTACCTCTATCCAGAGCCCCCTACACCCCCATTTTGTAAAAGGTATATAAGGAGTCGTGATCCTTTAAAGTTAGCCATTTTTCAGTGATTTAGTGTTGTCGTGAAGAGCCCAGAGAAGCTAGTGTTATCACAGAGCCGGACCACAGAGAGTTCTTGGAATTTATTATTACTGGAGTCTTCAGCCGCGTGGAAGGCTACGTTGAGAAAAGTTATGGAGTTCGACAAGTTACAAGGATCTCTGAAGAGAACTGCAAGTTGTGCAGTAATGCACTGAGATTATAGTTTATATAGAGGGCTCTAAGTTAAGAAGATAGTTTTTGTATTGGTATTGATATTGGTTGCGGTATTTTCCCAACCACCAGAAAGATATAACTCCTACCAACTCAACTACTTTATGAACTGACCTAACAATCTTACTACGGACCGACACGAATACAATAACTATCCTCTTATGATCTTAGAGCCCTCTATAAAAACTATAACCTCAGTACACTACTGCACAACTCATGGTTCCCTTTAAAAATCCTTGTGACTTAACGACGTCCACAACTTTTCTCAACGTAGCTTTCCACACGGCTGACGAGACCAGTAACAATAAATAACTCCAACAACTCTCTGTAGTCCGGCTCTGTGATAACGCTAGCTCCTCTGGGCTCTTCACGACAACACTAAAATCACTGAAAAAGGCCTTTCTTTTACTGATCGTGACTCCCTATAAATCTTTTACAAAATGTTCTAGAATGTTCTAGGGATCTGTAATAGAACTATTTTTAGCATCATAACATCGCTATTGCATCATAACAAAATATGCTGACTAAGGGTTCTAGAAAGTTCCATTAAGAGTTCTCAATCAGTCAGCATGACTAAGCGTTCTAGAAACTTATTCAGTTCTATTTTTAGCGATTTCGTAACGCAACGCACTCTCCATATCAGTATCGCTCCGTAGTAAGATTATTACGTCAGTTAATAAAGTAGTTGAGTTTGTACGAGTTGTATCTTTCTGTCGGTTGGGAAAATACCGTAAGACTTTGAAAAATTTACAAGTGCTTATTTGCACCAAATTGCACGAGAAATCATGTAATTAAATATCTATAATGTACACGAAAAAAGAAACAGAGCCAGTCAAGACAGACGAAATTTTGACAGCGCGCTTGCTATTTATGATTTGTACTCGTTACAACTCTGCCCTCGTGTTACCTGAAAATGGACTTGTTTTTAGCCAATCAGAAGGGTGTCATTTTTGCATGTACATAGTATTATTACGGTAACTACTTGAAACCTGCGGGAAATTAAGTTTTTCAGTTCTTTGTTTCTGATTTTCATTCTATTAAACCCGGTTCAACTAAAATATGTGTATTTATATTGTTACGGCCACTTACAACGAGACTCTCGGAGAGGAACTGTGTAATCGCAGAAACTGTCCGCAAATAATTGCGTTGTGAACTATACTGCCTTGTGCGGAGAAAACAATTTATTAAAATTGCCGTCCGAATGCCTTTTGTGTGATTTGCAAGTAACGCTAAGAAAAAAAAAGGATACTAGAGAAACCAAAAAGGCGCAAACAAAGGGAAAAGTAACAAACGTTAACCAGGTAGTGAAAAATAATGACCCCCCAAAGACTTTTAAAAAATACTTAAAAAACATGCGAAAACTTTGAGAGGAAGGCGCTTAACAATGATAGTAAGATTACGTAATAAATAATAACGAAATTTGTCACTTAAATGTTACAGTANTCGGCCTCCCAACATGCAAGCCACACTCCATGCTTTTACCCTTCTTTCACAGAAGTACACAACCAGTGACGTCACAGGGCTGTTTTGGCCGCGCCAAGATGGCCGCCAATTTTGATCTCAGCCGGTCAACTTCGAATGGTTAAAAATGTACTTTCCGCTATGCGTTGGCCCAAAAAAAGTACACAGCGTTTGCAAATAACGTTCAAACTCTATTATATTGCAAAAATCTCGGATATGAAAATTACGTTTCAGTAGCACTTTAAATTAAAGACAGGCCTTGAAAACTTCAGGGATCTTCGGGTAACTTCGAAAACCTTCAGATAATCTTTGGTTAATCTTCGAGTTTATTCGGAGCTCGTACGCTCTTCGGAAAGGTAAGCTGGAAAACCTGCAAGGTCTGTTGAGGAGGATTGAGGGAGGCCTGTCTCTAACGGAAGAGTTTATCGCTTTCGTTAAGCAGTGCTTTCCCGGAATTGTAATTGTGTAAATGGCAGACTGACTAAGGCATTGCTATATTTTCTTTGTACCCTTTTAATGAATAATCGAGATCCGATTAAAGGGACGCTGACCATGTTAACCTATAATTTGATGAATGATTTGCTATTTAAAATAAACAAAAGATGAAATAAAACAAGTCCATAAAAAACAATGAAGCCGGGGGTTCGAAAGTTCCTCGTAGATCTCCGGGTATCTTCGGAGACCCTCGGATAGTTGTCGGTTAATCCTCGGAGTATATATTCGGAGCTCGTATACTCTTCGGAAAAATCTTGAAAAAAGAAAAAAGAAGAATTGAAAAAACAAGCCTTAAAAAATTCAGGGCTCTCTGGGTAACTTCGGAAACCATCAAATAATCTTCGTATTAATCATCGGAGTATATTGGGAGCTCGGACTCTCTTCGGAAAATCATCGGAGTCGTTTTCAATTAAAAAACAGACGTTGAAATATTCCGGCGGAATTCCGGATTCCTGCTTTTCCAGACTACTAATCGTTCTTAACGCTAGCATTGGTCCATGCAATAGTATTAGTCGTGTTGTGAATAAGGGTGGTGAATGGTCCTTCAAAAACTGTGGGTCTCGCAAAATTTAGTCGAATGTCGTAGGTCTCGCAGTCTCGTTTTTTCAGCGGTTATGTGCGTCTCGCAGTCTCGTTTTTTATACGAAGGTGTCTCGGAGTGTCGATTTTTTGTAAGGCTAAGGGTCTCGAAGTCCCGATTCGTTTCTTGGTTTTTTTTAAATGACGTCTTCTCGTCACTTTTAATATTGAATTTCATTAAAGCAACTTTCAATTTCAGATAAAAAGTCAATCGTAACTTCTCCAAATTCTCTGAATTCAACAAAAAGCTAGAAAACCTACCGCAACTTCATTTTGGCGCCAGAAAAAAACAGTTATTTTGTTCTAGGATATCATAACGTAGTGTTTTAGTCGAATTTCCAGCTCCAGCTAGTACACAGAAGCTGGCTAAAATTGGGAATCATGAAACCCACACACTGACCCACGATAGCTTATGATGAAACCCACGAAGTCGGAGAACTTATCTCTTGCCCCCTGTGGAACTGAGTAAAAGCACAAGCATTCCCAGTGAAACAAATAAGTTACTATACACGCTATGCATAATGAAAATTTGCTTAACAAGCCTGGTAACAAGTTTGCACGAAAGCGAGGTCCGTCGGGCTACTATGTTTTTCTTCCTTCGGAGGCTTTTACCTTGGTTAACACAAAATGAGCTCGGTTGCAAACAATCTAAAGCTTTCAGATGCAGATATTCCTGGTTCATCACTAAGTGGGAGAGCTCCAGCCAATTTAAAAGTACAAGAACTAAAATTCTGGCTAAAATGCAGAGGAGATCCCGCCAAAGGTATAAAGACGAAAGCCCAACTTGTTAAAAGGTAAGACAACAACAATTATACCTACTTTTAAAATGTCAAGAAGCTCATTGATATTATTAATTGGCCATGAAAGAAAAGAAAAACCCTAAAATGTTCTAATCAATCCAAAGAGATATTGAATTCAGATTGTAAAGTTATAGGTCGCTCAGACTCGATCGTCTTCGATTGAAATTGCGTTCCGCACCTCATTCCTAT